GTCAGTGTTTAATCAATAGCTAGTCCCGGAATCATTAAACACGTGCTCTCAGCTCAAGGTCCTCTGATGGGGATGGCTGAGGGAATTGCTCAGTTTTGCTACAAAGTGCAAAAATAAAATAAAATGAAATTTAGAAAAAGGATGTCTACATTCAGGTTCGACTACTTAAAAGAGCTACAATTTTAAATGGTTACATTAAATGAGATCTGTTTTAAGGGTCACCTGGAACAGAAATTACACTTGATCTCATAATTTTTACTTCAGGATGCTTCCTACTGAATTTGAGTCACTGGAGTGAAGGAGGTCTGATCCTCTGCATCTTCAGTTTTATAGCTTGATGATTACCTACAGTTTAACTTTCTTATATCATAGGCTTAATCAACTGCACAACAGAGCAAGACAACAGTCACTTTCAACCTTTGGGGCTGCAAAGCATTAAGAATTTTTCTTTTTAATTTTAATCCACTGTCTTGATAAGTGTTTAATATGGCAATTGGTGAAACTATCATTTCTCTCATGGAAATAAAAAGAGATGAAATTATTACACTACTTGATCACTTGATACCCCGTTACTCATCGATTTACTCGAGCAGGTGCCAGTAACGTCTCCATTCATCCCTGTTGTGTGCTAGCATAGCCCAATGGCATCTGCTCACTCTAGGAACACTACACTACAGCTTTCATAAAAATTATAATGGGATATCACAAGATTGACACTCATTAAATCTTATTTGGTAAGGATCAACATGACATGACATGACAACTTTAAAGTTTACAATAAAAATCATAAAATTTAAATAAATCAAAATAAATCTCAGTCTCCATCATTTTTAGTTGTCACAAACAATTTTTTCATTAAATAATAGGGCAAAAATTTAGAATCTGGTAGAGACCTATGAACTTAGATCTTAGAATGCATAACAAATGATTAGATTTATTGTGGTAAACTTAACTTAATAACTTTATAACAAACCCATGTTTTTATGTAATTTATGTGATTTAATTTTTTTGTTCAGTATTCCTGAGTAAATTAAAAAAATAACATATATTCTCATTAATAATCCTATTAGCTGATTGTCTTTTGAATTTTGTCAAAGTCCAAAGACCAGGATCTCTCTCTCATAAACTCAGTCTTAACTGTTGGCTGATACTCATAATTTTACAGAGGTCTAACCAATATTTTTATAGGGTACTGAAGTGAAATATTTAATTTTAATTAGTGTCTTTTTCCTGAAAAAAATTTTAATATCAATTCTTAGAGCTTAGGTTTTTTTTTTTTTTTTTTTTGCTTTTTTGGGTCACATCTGACGATGCTCAGGGGTTACTTCTGGCTTTGCACTCAGGAATCACTCCTGGCAGTGCTCAGGGGACCGTATGGGATGCTGGAAATCGAACCTGGGTCGGCCGCATGTAAGGCAAATGCCCTATCCGCTGTGCTATTGCTCCAGCCCCTCTTAGAGCTTAGTTTTATACAGACACATTTTATTGCCTGTTTGTTTATACAGTCCTAACTGAAATTGATTTGCTGTGCCCAAAAGACATCCTGGGTCAGCATCTACCATTTATTTATAAGCAGAATGACCGATCTTAAAATTTTTTTCAAAACTTTCTTAATCCTTATTTCCTTACATTATTGGCATAGTAATATCAATAGCACCATTGATATATAATAGAATCATTATATAAATGCATGTATATATACTTATGTGTGTATCAGAACGGCATTTTTATTTTTGCTGTCTTTGTTTTAAAATAGCATTTTCAAATTTTGCAAGAATACAGGAAATAAACATAGGTTTGGGTTTAGCGAGTTACACGGTCTTTGTATTATATCTTATTTTCCAAAGGTAATTTGAGACTACGCACATTCGAAAACACTTAGACACTGGTGTCAGAAAGGCATTTCAAGTGGAGAGATATGCCTTGCATATGTAAAACTGTGAGTTTAGTATCAAGCTTTGCATAACTCTGGTAGTCCCTGAGTACCAGCAGATTGGGCATAACCTCTCTGTGATGTGGCCTCACAATGAAAACAAGTATCAAAGCACATCTAAAATATACGGATTAAAGTTAAGGTTTAAAAAACAGGGAAAGTAAAAAACATAACTACTGTAAACAAAATAGAAAGGGACCCATGTTTTGAAGCGAGCTAAAGAAAGTTAAATTATAAATATTGGATACATCGCGCCATTTTAGGTAAGAGTGCAGTGTAGTACTCAGTTTTCTAGGAATCAAAAAATGCATCATATAATTTTCATCTAATAACAAGAGGAAGATTCTAAGAAACAAAATGTTCTTACACTTAAACAATGCAGAATTTATTGCAAGGATATTTTTATTTTAAACAATATGAAGTCATATAAAAACACTTGGGGCTGGAGTGACAGCACAGCAAGCAGGGCTTTTGCCTTGCACGTGGCCGACCCAGGTTCGATTCCCAGCATCCCATATGGTCCTCTGAGCACTACCAGGGGTAATTCCTGAGTGCAGAGCCAGGAGTAACCCCTGTGCATCGCTGGGTGTGACACAAAAAGTAAAAAATAAAATAAAATAAAATAAAATAAAAACAAATAAAAATTAACACTTTATTTGTAGAGATCAAGACCATTGGGAAAGAGTGGTAAGAGACAGTTAAATCCATGTAACAGAGATATGCTCTTGGCTCTTCGCAGTAGCATCATATCTCACAAGTGGTATTTTGACTTTGCATTGGAGTCATGACAGAATTCTTGATTTCCTATCATGAAAGTTACTAAAATCCAACACTCTATCAACTTCCTTTATTAGGATCAAATATACCTTGCTTCCAAAATATACATACTCAGTGACCAGATGTACCCAAGCACCTAATACTCACCGGTGAAACTTTCTTCCTTGGAATTATGGAATTGTTCAAAATCACCAATCCCCACATAGATGGTCAATTTATATTATTCTTACCTTCTACATACCAGATAGGTAAAAAGAAGTGGGTGGAATAAGAATATTAAAAGAAAAGGAAAAGTGTTGACTTGATCCAAACCAAGGGATAAGCAAATGCAGGACATATTTGACAGTTGTAATACTCAGAAAATAGTTATAAGTATGTGAAAATTGCTGGCACACTCATAGATATAAAATATCATATCATGTATAATCCTAAAGTATAAATTATAAAGTATAAAGTATAAATTACAGAAAGGAACATGTCAAAAAAGATGTAATGAATGAAAATCAGGGCTGGAGCGATAGCACAGCGGGTAGGGCATCTGCCTTGCACGCGGCCAACACGGCCGACCCGAGTTCGAGTCCTCTGCCCCTCTCGAGAGCCCGGCAAGCTACCGAGAGTATCTCACCTGCACGGCAGGGCCTGGCAAGCTCCCCGTGACGTATTTGATATGCCAGACACAGTAACAACAAAGTCTCCAATGGAGACGTTACTGGGCCCGCTCGAATGAAAATCCAGATGTTAAAGCATTTTTAAGCCATAATAAAGATTCTGGGTTAAATCTTAAAAACTACTTGAAGATTAAAAATACAATTTAACATGATGGGAATTGTTCTTATGTTTTTAGGCCACATCTAGCTGTTCTCAGGGCTTACTCCTGGCTCACTGCTCAGGTTTCACAACTGGCTGTGCTCAGAGAACAATAGGAGGTGTCACGGATCAAACCCGGAACAGTCGCATGCAAGACAAGCACCTTACAAACTGTACTATCACTACTGTCCCACTCAAATTGTTTTAAACATTTTCAAAAGTGCTCTGCCAGAATGTTAGATCACCCAATAAGAGAGAGAGAGAGCAAAAGGGAATGCCCTGCCACAGAGGGAGGGTGGGATGGGGGGAATGGGGGGTGTGAGGGATACTGGGATCCGTGGTGGTGGGAAATGGGCACTGGTGGAGGGATGGGTATTTGATCATTGCATAATTGAAACCCAAGCACAAAATTTTTAAGTCTGCAACTGTACCTCATGATGTCTCACTAATATATATAAAAAATAAATAAATAAAATTTAAAAAAAGAATGTTAGATCGTTGCTTGAAGGTGGCAGGTACTGAAGATACGATCATTAAGGTGCAATTGCAATAAACATTTCTAGAAGAGATTCTGAGAGCATAAATAAAAGCAATACAGTGGAGGCAGCTCTTTATATTATAGAATCAGAATCTATTAGTTTTACTAGAAATCTGGGTATGTGAAGTAATGAGTTATACAAAATGACCTGAATAGCGCGTGGTCTGACATGGGAGGATACTAGAAACTAGGAAAATGGTGGATAGGAAAAGATGTTGTGTCTAGGGCCCTAAGTTTCCAGGGTTGGTAGAAATCGTCAATGAGGGGGTATGGCAGCTAAGAAACCTGAAATTAAATTTTACTTGGGTTAAGAAAACAAGGAGAATGACTGTTCGTTTGTGGTTCTGAGTTATACAACATACACTTCTAGATAATTGTAGTAGATAAAACTGTGTAAGTGGAAAGATAAAACTGGTACTCTGAAGACAAGAATTTTGGAAAATTCTAAGGAAAAATATGTAAAAGATCTTAGAGATGAAAGTGGACCAAGAGAATGTGTCTGACAAACCAAAGTAGAAAGTGTGAAAAAGGAAGTTCTAGCTTGCTTTTTTTTCCTCCCGTGGGGTTGGAAGATGCCATTTGCGGGCGTAAGTGGGACCCAAGCTGCAGGAAGGGGAAGGTTGGCGCTTTGGGAGGATCGGCTGGTGAAGGGGGAACTGAGAACGTTCTTGCAGGGGACAGCGGCTCCCAAGGCAGAGTGAAGCTTTCATCTGGGGTATTAAGGTGCAAAGGGAGAGTCCCAAAATTTGGGGAGAAATACAGGTTGGAAAGCCACTTTGCGTCAAACCTGACTTTTGTACCAGTGAATCTGCAGGGGAACCGCGGATGTCCTACTACCGATAATCTTTGGGTAAGTTGTGTGAATGAAGCCCTCTGAGTACTTGCTACTTGTCCCTAAAGTTTTGGGACTTATCCTTAGGTGACCCAGCTAATGGATTTTGGTCTGATCAATGATGAATTCTATTCCGAAACTGAGGACCTGAAGAAGAAAACATGTTATGGATTCAACTTCTGAGATGGAAGAAAAAAAAAAAAGTTCTAGAGACATGATCTTGAACCCTGTCCGTGTTTATGGATAACCCTGAGAGAACTGGAATACATTAAACATGATAGAGAAAAAGGTTGGTGAGAACATATAATTAACATTATGAGCACAGTTCTAAGGAAAAGACCAGAAAGGGATCAGTTCGATGAAACAGTACAATAGTTTTATTCTTAAATGCAGAATATACAAATATGAGAGTTGTCAGTGTTCAGTTTTGACTTAAAGTTGGGACACCACCTAGCTGAGATTTCTATTTTTTCAACAAAATCAGAAACATATATTATTCAGCAGCACTGTAGCACTGCCCTCCCATTGTTCATCGATTTGCTTGAGTGGGCCCAGTAACGTCTCCACTGTGAGACTTGTTGTTACTGTGTTTGGCATGTTGAATACATAACGGGAAGCTTGCCAGGCTTTGCTGTGCAGGCGAGATACTCTAGGAAGCTTGCCAGGCTCTCCGAGAGGGGCGGAGGAATCGAACCCAACTCGGCCAGGCCAGCTGCGTGCAAGACAAATGCCCTACCGCTGTGCTATCTCTCTAGCCCATATGTATGTATGTGTGTATATATACATATATATATATATAATATGGAACATACAAAGAGCTCTTAATTCAATGATAAAATATAACCTAATTTTTATTTGTTTGGGGGCCACACCCATCAGTGCCCAGGGCCTACTCTTGGCAGGCTAGAAGAAACATGTGGGGTGCTGGGATTGAACCTGGGTCGGCTACAGGCCAGACAAGCACCCTACCTGCTGTACTATCACTCCAGCTAAACATAACCTAATTTTTAAATACAGTAGTAGTAGAGGACCAAAGAAAGAATACGGCCAATAAGGTTGCTTGCCTTTCGTGTGAACAACCTGGGTTTAATCCCCTGTACTACATGATTTCCCAAGCACCACCAGTAGTTATCTCTGAGCACGAAAAAGAGAGAGGCAGAGAGACAGACAGAGACAGTTATTCAGCAGTATAGCAAGAAATCACTGAATTCATCAAATAATGTCCTTATGATTGCAAATAGAAAATGCACACTACAAAACCACATTTCTCTTTCCTTGTCAGTAGCTAGAAAATTTTCTGGGGTGATAGTTTGGATTTAAGTTTTATATATTAATATTCAGTGAATTAATAAGTGAGAATAGTTTGCCATACAGTGAAAATATATTTGTGAATAGTCTCCTAAAATGAAAAAAGAGATATATTCTACAAATTACAAAATTCTAAAATATATAAAATAATTTTACAGATAAATCTAGAGATTTCCCTGAAAGATGGTACTTTAAGACATTGTGCAAATAAATACAAAGAAGAAAAGAAAACTGCCATATATGAACAGCATTGTGCTAACATCTCTTCATTTTGTCTTGTACTGCCTTCTTTTAACCTTGGCAGCACAGGCTAGAATTCATCATACTTCTCGTTTCCAGGATAGTTCTTCTCATTCTCCAGACCTTGAAGGACCTCTCTTGATTCATATATTTATTTTCATTTGTTTGCTTTTAAACTCCTGTTCTTGGCCAAGACTCAGAGACTATAAAAACCAGCTCCTGGAAGAGAACAGTGCAGTCTCCTGCCCCCACGCCTGGCTGTCCTCGCCGGGGCCCCTTGGAGGGGAGTGGGTTGAGCTTTCCTCCCTTCCCCGACCAGGGCTACGGCAGCCGAAGACCTCCAGGACCAGCCACCACCATGCCGAGACCACTCTCCGCACACATGAAGGTACCGGCAGAGGAACCAAGGCAAGTGGGCCCCGGGGGGGGGGGGGCTGAGATCTCCAAGCCTACTCGGATCCGGGCTGAGCATCCTCCACCCAGATCCTCCGAATTCCAGTAGGCGGGGGTCACACCCACCAACTGGCCCCCTGGTGCCATGTAATCCCATCAATGGCCAAGACTCAGAGACTATAAAAACCAGCTCCCGGAACCGCGCGGCCGCATTTGTGGCCGTGCGACATCTTATTATAACATCTTATTATCTCATTCCTACTTTAGACAAACTGGCAGGCTACCGAATGTAACCTACCTACACGGCAGAGTCTGGCAAACTCCCCGTGGCGTACCCAATATACCAAATACCAGTAACAATGATGGGTCTCATTCTCCTAAAGAGCCTTGAATATAGCACTAATCTCAGGGCTAGGATGAAGGAGACGTTACTGGGACCTGCTCGAGGCAATTGATGAATAAACTCCTGTTCACCAGGGATACCCACTTAATGCATTAAATGCATTGCACTTTTTTTAAAATTATGTGATACTTAGTTTTCAAAAGATTATCCTTGTTTCTTTACATGGATATATGAATAAAAACAGAGAGGATGCAGACTCTGAAGTTCAGTGTCTAAGACTGGGCCAACATCACACAACACTTCAGTGATTAAGTAGAACTTAGACTTCAGTCTGACTTGATCTAAAATTGTCTCCCTTACATCTATTAAATGTAGGAAAGCTAGAAAATGGAAGATTATAAAATGCATATCAAAAATTCAAGTAGTTGAAAAATTTTTCTAATTGGATTAATAATCAATAGTCTAGATAAGAACCTATAAGGTTAATGAATATTTGCAAGGCCACCAATTCAGATGAGGAGGACAATGGGACATAATTGTTAAATTAAACTTTGGATGGGATAAAACTTATCATTTGCCACATTACAGTTAATAATATTGCAAATTCAATGAATTTGATAATGACTGAGAGTTGCCATCAACCCGACAAACTAAAACAAATTTTTAACTTGACATAGACCTACTCAAGACATCAGCTGTCATCTAAAATGAATTCTGTTTCTAATTTGTCTTCATAAATAATGCAACTAATTGAAAGGGGGTTACAATGATATTTTTTAACCTGTTTCATCTCCAATTTTGAGGACATGCTTTTTTTTATTCTCTGGAAAGAATCTTCCATTCCTTTTATCAGGTCAAACCTAGACATCACTGATCAGAACACAGATCAAAAACAAAAGAATCCTTTTTATGAAGACCACCACACCTAATGATTTTTTCAATCCTTTTCCTACTTTAAGTATTATTTTTAAATGTGAAACTCATAAAAATATGACATAAGACTATATATGTAACTGAAATTTCACTAAAGATCTATTAATTAAGCTTCCTGGTTATCTTACTTTCTTATCACCTACCTTCTCTTTATTTAGAGTCACAAGATGATCTCTGAGCACAGCGGGTAGGGCGTTCACCTTACAAGCAGCCAACATGGCTGACCCGAGTTCGATTCCTCCGCCCCTCTCGGAGAGCCCGGCAAGCTACTGAGAGTATTCGATATGCCAAACACAGTAACAACAAAGTCTCCAATGGAGACGTTACTGGGCCCGCTCGAGCATATATATATATATATATATATATATATATATATATATACATAATCACACTGGATAATTTTTGGTTTACTATCTGGGTAGCCTAGGTTCTGTTTTTCTCTCGTTTTTATGAAAATAAAGGTGACCAGTGATTATCAGCGAGATAACTCAATGCACTAATTTCACGCTTTGCATTCAGGAGACCTGCTTACTGACCCTGCACTGCATGAACTCCCTTGAACCACTAGGAATGACCTCCCCAACAGGCTTAACCATTCTCAGCAACTGGAAAAAGAATTCTGAGGTTTCAATGTACCAATACAAGTGAATCTATTTGTTTGTATGAATATAGATATTAATGAATTTGTGACCTGAGACCATAAAAGAGAGGTATGAGTACTACTGATTCTTAAATATTTTTGTTTGGTTTGGTTTGGTTTTGGTGCTTTACCTGATGATGCTCAGAAATCACTCCTGGCAGACATATTTTTTAGGAAGTTGCAAATACAAAGATTTCTGTGAGATATACCTAAATGTAGCTATACTTCATGGGTGGCCTGAGCTCCAGAGGTGGTGCACATTTTAGGGTCACATTTTGGAGTCAAGGTAAGTCCATCTTACCTTGGACTGTGTACACTCTCAACCCTTTCCCCTTTAGAGAGACCTCATTCCCTCTTTAATGTGTTTTTATCCCTGCATACTTCCCAAGTATTTTACTTAAAATAAGTAAAACTCTACAAGTTTCTTAAAATGCATATTACATACATAATACAGAAACTTAGAATAAAATACTATTTTAAACAATTCCATTGCCATTAAAAATAATAAACTGTAATAGGAATTTAGTCTACATTATCATTACTTTAATTCAGTAACAAATATTAAATTAATCTCTCAACAGTAAGAAAGTAATCAGTAAACTATCAGTTGGTAGGGTGCTTGTCTTGCATGTAGCAGACCTTGGTTCTATCCCAGCATCCCATATATTTCCGGAGTGCAGAGTAAGGAATAACCCATGAGCACTTCTGGGAGTGGACTTTCCCCCTCCCCCAAAAAAACAATATCAATAAATGTTACTGAAATACACTTGTTATCTAAAACTTATTAGCAGTTGCCCCCAAAATAGAAATACTATACCCACTTTCCCACTTTGAGTGCTTCTACACACAAAATATTCATTTTGGTAGGCTCATATATCTTTTCATACTCTCCTGTAATAACAGCCAATATTTCCATCCATTGGCAGGAAGACAGGGTACCCACCCTGCAGGAGCTCTGGCAGCTATAGGCACACACCATTTCTACACCAAAATTTCACTTCCACCACTTCATCAGTATTTTCTGCAGAGATGCCAAAAGGAAAATAATTTCAGGTATCTTTGTGCCTTGCGTAACACCGCTGGTGTTTCTTGGAGTTGGGGAAGGCATTCTCCCCCCTTTCCCCTCAAAACCCCGTGCATTTCTGGAAGCCCTGGCAGCCATGATTATCTCCTACAGCTGCCACCATGTCAAATCATTGAACCATATCATAACTCCTGAAAGTCCTTCTATTTCATCGATAGAAATTCCAGTAAGAGCATACCAAATTAGATGGGGAAGAAACAGGCGACTAAATTCAATGGACAAAAAAAATAACAGAGGGCTCAACT